TTGTCATGTGTGAGCGATTGCAAGAAATGATCTCAATCACCAACGTAATGAACGATCGTTGTTGTGTGTTCGTGCTCGTTTGTAAAGAAGTTATCGCGTTAAAATACAATCGCAAAATGAGCTCAAGCAAGATCATAATTTTATCGTACGCCAGCGAATTTTTGTGCACCCTGGTGCCTATTTTAGCAAAAGCACCTCAGTATAACAGCAGCTTGTGATTTTGGTTCTTGTCACCACTGTGGCATTTTTCCAAAGGTGGTTCATTTATTTTATTGCTTTGTATTAATAGATGGCGTTGGTAGTAAAAATATGTCACGTCACCATATCATCTTGGCTTAATATGCCAACTTTATTTGTTTAGGTGTGTGTATTCTTTTTATACCCTACACCACAAGGTGGTCAGGGTATTATGTCTTTGTGCATTTGTTTGTAACAGGCAAAAGGAAACGAGATAGACCCATAGTTCCTTTTGATGATCTGCATAGAATCACATTCTGAGTCGATTTATGCATGTCCGTCCGTCCGTCCGTCTGTCCGTCTGTCCATGTATTTTTGTAAACAAAGTACAGGTCGCATTTATTGCCCGATCCAGATGAAATTTTGCGCAGATCATTTGTTTGGCCCAAGGACGAACCCTATTGAAATTGGAGATAATCGGTCAAAATTTAGATATAGCTCCCATATATATCTTCGTCCGATTTGCCTTTTATTGTGCACCAAACGAGTACTATCAGCCCGAATTGTATGGAATTCTGCATATACACCCAAATTAGGCCTGAAAATATGTATGCCAAATTTGATCGAAATCGGTTCAGATATAGCTATAGCTCCCATATATATTGTTCATCCGATTTGTTATTTTTGTCCACCGCCGCCGTAATATGCACTCTGCAACAACAATATTTGGGAAAATATATCAAATACAGCTCAGAAATACATATGATAAATTTTATCGAGATCGGTTCAGATTTGGATATAGCTTCCATATATAACTTCGTCCGATTTACCTTTTATTGTGCATCAAACGTTTAATATTTGTCCAAATGGGATGGAATTTAGCACATGCGACCGAATTGAGTCTAGAAGCTAGTATGTTAAATTTGGTGAAGATCGGTTCAGATATAGCTATACCTCCCATATATATTGTTCATCCGATTCGTTATATTTGTTACCCAGAGCCGTAATTTGCACTCCGTAACAACGATATTCAGGGAAATATATCAAATACAGCTCAGAGATATCTTTGCCAAAGTTTATCGAGATCGGTTCAGATTTGGATATAGCTCCCATATATATCTTTATCCGATTTCAAATTAATTGTGCACCAAATGGGCAATACAATTCCCAATTTAAAAGATACAAAAGCTTCGGCATATTTAGTACTTTGAACTTTAAATTATAATTATAATCATAGCGTGTATGATTGAATTCTCCCATAAAAACTTTTAATTGTTATGTGGAGCTCTACTAAATTAGCAAAGTGGTGTAGGGTATCATAAAGTCGGCCCCGCCCGACTTTAAGACTTTCTTTACTGGTTAATAATAAAAAATTGTTCAGAAAATATTCAAATTCGTGTGTTTTCAAAATACTAATTACAGCGAATACATCGACAAAATCTAAAGATTTTGTTACGAAATAAACCTTTAAAGATATATAGAACATGATTTTGATAAATTTTGAATTTTCATTCAGTTTTCGCGGTTTTAAATTATTCCAATGCTATAAGTTATTTGGGTTTTTATTGTTTTGATAGTATTTCTGACATTACAAGCCAAACAGGTTGACCTATATACTTTCAGTTTTTTTTAAGTTAGCCTACCTTGTGCTATGAAATAAACCTTTAGAGATATATAGAACATGATTTTGAAAAGAAATTTTGATCTTTCTTTCAGTTTTCGCGGTTTTCAATTTTTTATTCAAAATCAATGCAACAAGTTATTTAGTTTTTTATTGTTTTAATAGTAATTTTGACTTTGCAAACCAAACAGGTAGACCTCAATTCTTGAAATTTTTTCAGAGTTAGCCTACCTTGTCTTCATTGTACCAGGATTCTATTTATGTTTGCTTTGTTATTCCGTTTGTAACTCCTCGAAGTGTTCATGATAGATGCGCCATATCGGTCCACGTTTTCGTATAGCTCCTATATAACGGTACCTCCCGATCTTCGGTATTTTGCTACTACATCCTATGCAAAAAAAAAAATTCGTATGCATGTCCACGTCTTTGTATAGCCTCCATATCGTTATATGGGGCATGGTACAATGAAGAGAAGGTAGGTCAACTTTGAAAAGATTGCAAGTATAGAGGTCTACCTGTTTGGCTTGTAATGTCAGAATTAGTATCAAAACAATAAAAAATCAAACAACTAGTTGCATTTATTTTGAATAAATAATTAAAAACTGCGATAACTGAATGAAAGGTCAACACTTCTTTTCAAAATCATGTACTATATATCTCTAAAGGATTATTTCGCTACAAAAACTCTAAATTTGGTCGATGCATACGTTGAAATAAACATTTTGAAAACACCCGAATTTGAAGTTTTCTGAACAATTTTTTTGTTATTGAAAAGAAAACACATACATAAACAAATAAAAATGACATATTAAGCCAAAAAAATAAAAAAAAATTAAATCATAGGTAGGGCTATGATACTACCTTGATATCATTGTACCATGATATGGGGTACAGTACCTTCCTTTATTCGGTGTTTTGAGGATTTTAACGACATTATTGGCCGGAATTGTTTCAAATTTCGTATTTGAAGATCTTAGTGGGTTCTACAGACTATGAAAAAAGAATTACTTATGCAGGTCCGCGTCTTCGTATAGGCGCCGTATAAAACTCATCATTTAAACGGTATTTTTTGGAATGGTGGAGGATATTGGAGGACCCGACCGAACTTAGCTACTCGTTTACCGTTTCAAATTTATTTTACAATTTTTTGATAGGTTTTGAGTTTATTTCGGCAATGTACGCGAGCTTTCAAAATTTATATAAAAACCCAAATTAAAACGAAAACATTTGAATACGAAGGATTTATGTAAAAGAAAGCCTGATTTTACTGTTTCACTAAACTACAAATAAATACTTTCCACGACAATTACAGCAGAATTTGTTTGTTAGCTTTTCAACTTTTTTAATTTTTCCAATATTTTCCGCCGCCATAACAGCTGATGGTCGCTCTCCGCTCGTATTAATCGAACGTGGCATCAGAATAAATGCCGGTTATTATTGCGAGGGTGTATTAAAGCCTTGAATACGCAAACATTTTGGCCGCACACCTTGAACATACCATAGGACTCAGCACAATCACACACGGAGCGCGCCACCCAAGAATTGTTACAAAATGAGGTTCCTCGCTTCATTTCAAGCGTACAATGGCCTCCAAATCTCCGTATACCAATCCGTTTGACTATTGTGTCTGGAGTATTTTGGAAAGCAAGGTTGTCACTAAAAAAACCAAAGTGTCGATCACCCAAACAAGCGCTTCTCCGGGAATGGGACAAAATACCGCAGAACAATATTCGGACAGCGTGTGACGGTTTTATTGGCCGTTTGAAGACCATATTTCGTGCCAAAGGTGACCAATTCGGACAAATCTAAACTTATTCTAACCATTATTTGCTTTCATTTAATAAAAATTAAAAAAAAATTAAAAAATTATGGCGTTTGACTTTGTTGTAGTTTTTTATCTCACCCTGTATATCGACAGAAATGCTTTTAGTAAAATAAAAATATCATGCCTATCATGAATAGGCCTGAATAACGTTTTTTAACTTCTTAAAACATAGGGTAAGTGCGCCTATGTTCGGCATGTCCCAGTAGTCGGCAGTTTTGAAATTTAAACTTAAATAACTAAAAATAGAATTGACCAAATAATGAAATAATTGCAAAAAACGTCAACAGTATTCTCTGCTCTCTTTCTGTAAAAACCAATGAGCTCCGATCATTTATTACGAGAGAATAACGGTTTTTGTCAGTGAGTGTCTTCCAACGCGTGCGATAGTGCTTGTTTGTAAAGAAAAAATTAGTGGTGGCGTCAACTTAATAATCGATTTAAGTACATTTAATTTAATACTTTTGGAATCAGAAATATTTTATAATAGTAAATAACAGCCTATAGATCATTTTATAACTTAAAAACGTACAAATCAAGTATTTTTCTCTTATATTATATAATGCCGACGTTAGGAACAGAAAATAATAGATTTGCCAGTAGTCGGCAGAGGGTGCCGATTGCTAGAAAAATATCATTTTTGACCAATTTCGCCAAAACTTGAGAAAAGTATTAAAAAATAATCCAAAAACTACTCAAATAAAAAATAGTTTCAAGTCGGCAGTTGCTTTTATTTTTGCTTTTTGACAACCTTTTCTAAATTAAGTAGGTTTTTTAAATCAGCTATTTGTCGCTTTAGATAGCAGTGGTATTTTTGAAGAAAGGATAGACATCAATTCACAAATTGCAAATATAATATTTATTTTTTTATTTAATCTCATTTTTATTTAAATTGAAAATCCATGTTACTGAAGGTAACCATACTATTCTTGATTTTCTACCTATAATTGGTTTAGAATGAAAGAATATATAATTAATTAAACTGTGAATTAGTAATATAGCATTGTTTTATACTTTTTGAAATAAAAAAAATACAAAAAAATATTTTTTTTACTGAAATACCATATGCCGACTACTGGCAAATAGACATGCCGAGCATTGGAAAATGGTGCCGACTACTGGCATAAAACTACTATTTTAGTAAAATTGCAATTTTTGCCAATTTAATAAAAACAAATTCAATTGTTGTTTATTATTTCGAAAACTAAAAAAAAAAAATGGGATTTGAACTACTTTATTTTTTTGCAATTGAAAGATTTCACATAGAATGTTAAAAGATTGAAATATTGAAAAGCCTAAAATGCCGACTACTGGTACACTTACCCCATTTCATCTCATGATGTTTTTCGAAAAGACTTAAATTGTAATGGTACAAACAACTCTGTTATATAAAGGCGATTTATTCATTCATATTCAAATACATTAATGGATTATTTAAAAAAATATTTAAAAATTCTACACCGTTTGGAAGCGAGTGTATACTCTCGGAAAACTTATGCAGGGATGGCATCGTAATATCTTTATAACTTAGTTTTTTTAGGTTTAGCAATTCAATTTTGAATTCTATTTTTTCCACAAGAGGATATTGGTGTGAACGAGAGACTATTCTACGAACAACCTTGTACACATATGTTCGATGTTGGTCCCTATAACAAAACAGAAAAGTTACTGTTACTAAAAAATATACTATTGCAATTAAATTTACCTTATTATCGACGCTCCATGAGTATATACTATTTGCTGTAAACGAACACCCAAATTGATAATTTGATTACAAATGGTATCGATCTTTTGCATAATTTCCATTATTCCATTTTCATTTCCTTTTCCGCAAAATGTAAGTAGATTAAATGGCAAACATAATTTTAAGTGAAATTCCAACACGAAATCTATGGGTTTCCATGTTTCTACAGAAAATTTACAGTATAGTTATTTTATTATATATACTTTTTCATTTTCAAACTTACCCCTCGGTACCATATTTTTTGTTACTTCTACTGTTTTTAATTGTATCTCCATCCCAAATGGATCCAACTCTTCATAAGTAAACATTATGGCCAACGTTACGAGTTTTCTATGTGCAAACATTAATATACATTTTTCTTCCAATTGACGGTCAATTATCCACCTCGAAAATTTTTGTCTGAAAGAAATATGGCGTGAATTTTCTATGAAAACAAGTTCATTACTTTAAACATGTTTTAAAAATCTGCTATTTTTTCTTTACATTTTTCAATATAGCCAACGTAAACCTAGAAAATCATGTGGATTTCATGAAATGAAATATGTGAAGTTCTTAAACTGTGTGTCATTATTGTGTCAAATGCCTTTGAGATTTCAAGAACAGAAGTTTTGACTTTGATTAGATTTTTAATTTGACCACTGATGCTTTCAACAGCGTTCCATCATGTTCCAGATCAGACTCAGCCGAATCAAGAGAAGGTGATCAGTCTACAAGTACTATTACATTATATTTTGTTCCTCATATTAAAACGTATAGCGTGAAGAAGATTCGATTACTTTAACAGCTAGTGAAGCAACTATTCAAACTGTTCTTAGGATTTTTGCAGGAAATTTTCTTAAAAACTTTTCACATTATAAATTACGAATTACTTAAGACTGGTCACTTACCTAACAGGATTTGCACCTAAATAAGAGCGATCAAGAACCAGAAAAGGAAAACAAATTTCAACTTTTACAAAGGAGCTATTTTCCAAAAATGAACAGAAACTGTGAGTAATGCAAATTTATAAAATACGATCAACACCCACAAGTACCTCAAAAGCAAGTCACATAAATTTTCCAACAGAGGATAATTTTTTCAAATAAGTCAAATTGTTAATGAAAAATAAACGATGCTATCAGACGCTATAAAATGTCTTAGTCTTGGATATATTTTATTGTTTGAATTATTGGTTTATTTATTTATTATTATTATTATTATTATTATTATTATTATTATTATATTATTATTATTATTATTATTATTATTATTATTATTATTATTATTATTATTATTATTATTATTATTATTATTATTATTATTATTATTATTATTATTATTATTATTATTATTATTATTATTATTATTATTATTATTATTATTATTATTATTATTATTATTATTATTATTATTATTATTATTATTATTATTATTATTATATTATTATTATTATTATTATTATTATTATTATTATTATTATTATTTTATTATTATTATTATTATTATTATTATTATTATTATTATTATTATTATTATTATTATTATTATTATTATTATTATTATTATTATTATTATTATTATTATATTATTATTATTATATTATTATTATTATTATTATTGTTATTATTATTATTATTATTATTATTATTATTATTATTATTATTATTATTATTATTATTATTATTATTATTATTATTGTTATTATTATTATGAGTAATATTTATATATGAGTAATATTTATTTGCCTTTAAAAAGCTCTTGATGATGCTGATTATGACCGTTGAGAACAATATTGAAAGTAACAATTGCTCTCCGGAAAAGAAAGCAGTGTTGCCCCTGATCAAATATTGGGTCATTCTGTTCTCAAAGTACAAGATCTACTTGGAAGAGAATAGATTTTCGATTATTTCATTAAAAAATATTAATCGGAGTTGAATTAACATGTTTTCACATGTTGTAGAGTCGGATGACCAAATAAAAAGCGTTCTCTCTCTAAATAAATCTCAATTTTTCTCACACGACAAAAATATGATAAAGATTTAAAGTCGTACTGTATTATCGGACGGCCGATCACCTGAGGATTTAAAAACCCCTCTCATTAATTTGGGATATAAATGTTGCAGAGTTAAAGCAATTTTAAAAGCGCGTGATTTTTTCGAAGATACGAATTTTATTGCAAGTCACATAAATGCAAGTCACATAAATTTTCCAACAGAGGATAATTTTTTCAAATAAGTCAAATTGTTAATGAAAAATAAACGATGCTATCAGACGCTATAAAATGTCTTAGTCTTGGATATATTTTATTGTTTGAATTATTGGTTTATTTATTTATTATTATTATTATTATTATTATTATTATTATTATTATTATTATTATTATTATTATTATTATTATTATTATTATTATTATTATATTATTATTATTATTATTATTATTATTATATTATTATATTATTATTATTATTATTATTATTATTATTATTATTATTATTATTATATTATTATTATTATTATTATTATTATTATTATTATTATTATTATTATTATATTATTATTATTATTATTATTATTATTATTATTATTATTATTATTATATTATTATTATTATTATTATTATTATTATTATTATTATATTATTATTATTATTATTATTATTATTATATTATTATTATTATTATTATTATTATTATTATTATTATATTATTATTATTATTATTATTATTATTATTATTATTATTATTATTATTATTATTATTATTATTATTATTATTATTATTATTATTATTATTATTATTATTATTATTATTATATTATTATTATTATTATTATTATTATTATTATTATTATTATTATTATTATTATTATTATTATTATTATTAGTATTATTAGTATTATTATATTATTATTATTATTATTATTATTATTATTATTATTATTATTATTATTATTAGTATTATTATTATTATTATTATTATTATTATTATATTAGTATTATTATTATTATTATTATTATTATTATTATTATTATTATTATTATTATTATTATTATTATTATTATTATTATTTTATTAGTATTATTATTATTATAATTATATATTATTATTATTATTATTATTATTATTGATACCTGAAAGAGGTGTTTTTAAAATCAGCTTCTTCGTTTCCTGCTCATCGACTGATCTTTGGTTTATTATTCAATTGTTCCGTTCTGAAGGCTGTTGTTCTGCGTAACTATGTCAAAACCACATTGCTCCACCATTTCATAGTCGTTGTTAGGCTGCCCGAGGCAATCTTTGATGTTCCTGCATAAATTGATTCATGATTTGTGGGAGCCAAACTGTGAAAAGAAAATCGCATCTTTCACTTTTGAAAGTGTTAGATGTATTCTTGACCGAGGGAAATCGTCTTGCATGAAATGAAATGAAAAGGACTATATGTTGACTCCTCCACTCGCATCCGTTTGAAGCGGTTGCAGTAGAAATTCATACAAAAAATATATATCTCTTTTCACTTTGTACTCTCGTTTGCAATAGACGTACCTCTACAGTATTATATCGGATGTTAATAACGTAGATAATATTACATTTATGATGTAGACAAAATGTCTACATCAAGGCATATGACAATTTTTTCTAATGTGAGTAATATTTATTTGCCTTTAAAAAGCTCTTGATGATGCTGATTATGACCGTTGAGAACAATATTGAAAGTAACAATTGCTCTCCGGAAAAGAAAGCAGTGTTGCCCCTGATCAAAATATTGGGTCATTCTGTTCTCAAAGTACAAGATCTACTTGGAAGAGAATAGATTTTCGATTATTTCATTAAAAAATATTAATCGGAGTTGAATTAACATGTTTTCACATGTTGTAGAGTCGGATGACCAAATAAAAAGCGTTCTCTCTCTAAATAAATCTCAATTTTTCTCACACGACAAAAAATATGATAAAGATTTAAAGTCGTACTGTATTATCGGACGGCCGATCACCTGAGGATTTAAAAACCCCTCTCATTAATTTGGGATATAAATGTTGCAGAGTTAAAGCAATTTTAAAAGCGCGTGATTTTTTCGAAGATACGAATTTTATTGTTTACTTCAAGAGAGGTACTGTTAATCTCAAAAGAAGGCCAGAAACAAAGTGATACAATGTCATAGATGCCAGATGCATGGCCATGACGACAGTAACTACAATGTAAATCCCAATTATGCCAACTGTGCCAGCAAACATTTAACTACTATTTGCCCAAATGCAAATAAAAATAAATGCGCACAAGGCAACTTTTGAAGGATGTCCCAATAGGAAAATGTATTTGGAAATCAAAGAACCTTTTAATAACCCCAATAAAAACATTTAAAAAAAACGACTTTCAACATTTCAAATGAAGATTTTGTGAACTGGGACAAAAATCATATAGTCAGTTGAAGCATAAAAGCGATAAACTTTATATGTCTCTAAAGAATTTTGTTCAACACCCTCCGGCTAATGTGTAGACTCAGTCATTCGGCAACACTACAACTGCAAATATTATAAGCTCTCCATTACCTACTAATAACAACGAAGTAGCCAAAAAAATTTATTCTCCGAGAGAGAAATTACGTCTCTTACGTTTATTATTATTAGTGAACTACCAGATTGTAAAAATAAACAAGAACAATTTAATGTTATTGCTCAGTTAGCAATTAAGTATTTATTGAACTCATATTAATTAAGGTATGATATCTATCTATATATATAAATGTAAGTTGTGTTAGTTACTACGCTTATAACTCAATAACCTCTGATCTGATTTTAACGATTCATACAAATTTGAAATAGTCTCTTTTCCGAAAAGGATAATATTCAAAAAAACGCGTAAAAATGTGATATATTAACATTTTCATTTTGACTTCTGAAATGTACAATCGTAATGTTTTATTTTGTATGTTTTTTTTTCTATTTTGACTTACTTTTTTCGAATGTACATTTGTAGTGTTTTTTATAATATTTTTTTTTCTTTTTGATTCCAATATTAATACCAATTTATTTAATTGACTCGATTTCTTTAGAACTGAAATAGAAGCCGGGTTACATTGAAGTGCAGTACCAAATTATGTGGTGGCGAAACGAAATAGATGTTATCGAAATAATTTAACGCGGTCACACCAGAGTATTGCTAAAAATCTTGAAAAAAGAGATCTCATTGCAAAAATTCTCAAATCGGGGAAAAAATACGCAAGGTATAACTAAAGAACGACTTGACAATTCATACAATTTTGGAATGGTATCCAATAAAAATATTAATAAAAAAATCTTTTGGTGTGATTTTTTTCAATTTGACATACTATATTGAAGTGAACATTTTATTGCCTTGAAATCTGAATGAATAATATTTAAAATAAAATGAGTGACCTACGTGGACCTACTTCTTTCATATGAC